ACAATGAAGCAGATTTTCTTTTTTTGATGCTGACAATATTAGCAAAGGTGAACACTGATTCAGGATCTTATCTCTCCTTCTTGTCCCATTTATGTGGATGCCAAATTGTGTGTTTCCACTACAGAGCTCTGTACCTCTGTGGGACTTCTAACCTGGAGTGTCCATTTATTGTTATGAATTGTGTCTAATCTATAAAGTGTTGTCTGCTATTGTACATCTCACTCTCTCAGTGGTAAATACTTCCCTGTGCCTGAAACTGAACCAGAACAGGTAAACAAGTTAATAAGTTTCTACCTCTATGGCTCCATCACGAGACCACTAGAGGTAAATCAGAGCAATGTATTGTTTAATTTGGCTGAACAGAACCTTTAAGACTCACTGCCAGTATTATTCAGCAGTAAAGTTTGGAGTCCCAGCCAGTTAAAGTGTAACCCAGGGTGCAGGTTTTAAGACTGCTGTCATGTGGACTTGACAGAGACAGAGGGGAGGGGAGGAGACAGACAAGGACTGCTCTGTTTCAGTTCAACAGCAGCCACCACAGCGGTGCAAGGTAGCCTCCAACCACAGCAAATTATGTCTATGCACACTAGACAACACAAACAAGACATAATCAGGGAAAATGCTCAATGGCGCCACTGAACCCTTAGCGACGTTTTACATTGCTTGTGATGGGCTAGCATTGTTCAGTGGTATTCAAGGTTTGATAGCTTAAAAACAACGCCCCCTCCCCCTTCTATCCCTCACCCCTCTCCCCTCACCTTACAAAATTTGAGTCGCATTTAGTCACAGCTTCATCCACATGCAGCCAACAAACCGCCTGTGCCCCTGTATTGTTACGACTCTCTGTCTGCCGCCGAAAGCTTGTTTTCGTCCAAGCTCAGTCCACCACTCCTGAACCGGATGGTACAATAATGCTCGAACAGGAACACTTCCTACAAAAACACGATTTTTGCCGCATGCGCTGATGGGAAATGTAGTTCAAAGTTAGCTAAATCCAAGTTTGCTAAATGCAAACTATGCTAAAGTAGATTTGTTTGTGTTTTTGGTATTAAGACAAATGAAGAGCAAAATAGTACGATACTGTTTTCGACGTCCCGTAAAATTGCTTAAGTGCCGAGTGACATATATATATATAATAACTAAAATTGAGACGTGACCAAACAGATAAGTTATCACATAGCTAAACATAGCGACAGTGTTGAAGTTGGTTTCTCATTGGAGTCAAGCGCCGCACTGTGGCCAGGGTGCCTGTGAGTGGAGCTTTTGAGTGGAGTGTATTGCTTTTAAGTATTGAGCTTTCATTGTGTTACTGGGGGTACACTGTCATATAAATGTCAACAAGATCATTAAAGCATTTACTTGATAAAATGTAGAGAAGCAAACACTGTGGATAGTGAGTAGCTAAAAGAAGACCTGTCATTTGTGCAGTCCTAAATCGCAAATTCTTACAATTAAAAGTACCGTATACCAGTGGTCCCCAACCCCCGGGCCGCGGACCGGTACCGGTCCGTGGATCAATTGGTACCGGGCCGCACAAGAAATCATTAATTATTTCCGTTTTATTTATTATCTGAGTCTGAACGATCTTTTATTTTGAAAAATGACCGTATTCTCTCGGTTACATCTCGGTCACTTGAGCGCCAAAACTGGCTTACTTGTGCGACATATTCAGCCTGCTCAATGAACTCAATCTGTCACTTCAGGGGAAAATGACAACTTTCTTCAAGTTGACAGATAAAGTAGTTGCATTTAAAGCCAAACTGGATTTGTGGGGACGGCGCGTCAACAGAGGCATTTTGGACATGTTTCAAACATTAGCGGGGATTTTGGGTGAGACTGAGCCTGAGCCTTCATTCTCCCAGCTGGTGCACGATCACCTGTCTTTGCTTATAAAAGAGTTCGAGCGCTACTTCCCAACCACAAAGGACCCACGAACTGCCAAGGAATGGATCCGCAACCCATTTGTCAACAAACCAGGTGAATCCAGCAGGTCTGTGCAAGAAAAAGATCAACTGCTGGAGATCGCAAATGACGACGGCCTTAAAAGTATGTTCGAGACAACAACTCTGTCGGTGTCCTGGATTAAAGTCATGACAGAATACCCTGAGATCGCCACCACAGCACTGAAAACCCTGTTGCCATCTCCGACATCCCATCTGTGTGAAGCGGGTTTTTCTGCAGTGACAGCAACCAAAACAAAACAACGGAGTAGACTGAACATAAGCAACACACTTCGGGTGTCATTGTCTCCTATTACCCCCAGATGGGACCATCTCGTTGCAGAGAAAC